ACCAATGGGGACCATGCGGGAAACGTAGAGGCAGCACTATTGCCGAAATTAGTGTTCTTTTCCCGAAGATACTTTCTTAATATAGGATTTTTTTATTAATATAGGACTTACACATAATTTTTACTGCTTTTAAAAAATGTTTACGTTTTGCTATATTCCATGCAGCTCCAAACATGCTCTCCGGGAATTTATAAAATTTAACTTTCACGTCAATTCCACGTTTTTGACGTAATGTATTATTAGAGTCACGGATACAGCAATTTTTACTTGAAGTTGGCATTATTAAAATTATATCAATATATTTTATTAATATGTAATTACGCATTAATCACGTGTTAAAATGAAATAAACTATCTATAATGTACTCCGTGAAACGATTTCAATTAGTTACGATATTTGACACTAGTTGGCGTAAAAGTCTTGACGCACGATCCCTATATGAAATCACCCCGTAAAAAACATTCTTAAAACTTTATTTTACTGTCTAAGGATTTTAATTTTTCATGACTTCTTTCTTAGTGGATGCCTACTTAAAAAAGTAAGTTATTGTTCCAATTTCACGCATCTACATATAGCGGTTGGAGCTGTAGATTTAATACAATATTTTTCATACAAAATTTGCACCCTTGTTTCAAAACCGTAAGAGGCAAATTTTATTTTTTAACTACTTTAAAACATTAAATATTTTTTCTCCCTTCAAATTGAACATGATCAACACCCTTCTTCCTCCCCCGGTAAGAGGTTGTTTTTAAGAAATACAAAAATAATTTATTTCCATACAAAATTGTATACCCTCTGCCTCTCCCGTAACGGGTTATTTTGAAATCGCAAAATACGTATTTATTTATTTTTTAAATACAGTACTCTCAGTAAGTATCGAGTCAATCGCCCTGTAGAATAATTTTGTAATAAAATAATAAACTGTATACTATATATATAACAAACACCATTATTTCAAACTCATAGAGATCAAATTTTCCAAAATGATTTCATAGCGGATATCTACGTCATAAAACGACCTCCTGTTCAAATTTTAGGTTTCTACGTCAAGCGGTTTAAGTTGAGCTTGTGCACTGGTAGATGAGTTAGTCACTCAGTATAGCTTAGTATCTACGACACAGTATATAAAGAGTATAATGGTAGGTACACAGTGAGCAGTGACATCTGTCGGTAAATGGCTGTCAGAGCTTAAAGGTTAGCCTGTAAGCTCTGACAGCGCGCGACATGTTATACTCCCGTTCGCTCGGGACCGTAATGGCGGCAAAATTTGAAAATTAGCAAATTTTTTGCTATATTGCAAATTTTGCTATATTTTCACTTTGAGACAATATTTATGGATAAAACTTACAGGAATTCTTGTTGAATGTATAAACTATCGAATAAAATTATTTTTGGTTGCTAGAAATTGTAATAAAATACGTAATTACCCTGTATAGCTGTATAGTGGTATATACTTCAATTTTAGTGACAAAATTACTACTAATTTGAATTCTACACTTTTGTTTTTAGAGAAATTTATATGAAAATGTTTGGAAATATGTATATTTTTATGTTTTATGTGTTTCCATTCGTTACTCATACCAAAATATAAAATATAAAGAAATTAAAAAAAATTAAATATTAATATTTTATCTGTGTGACATTTAGAACAATATTTCTAAAATAGTTTTGTGTGAATTTGAAATAAATACAACGTCAAGTTATTTGAAATATGTAAGAAAACTATTTTTACTTACATTTTACACTAAAAATAAATGAGAATGTGAAAAATACCACATTTATGACCCAGCCGCCATAATGGGCCTTCCAGATTTTGAAGCACTTTTGGCAATTTATTTTTCACTTTTTATACCACAAATTATATATATATGTGTTCACTATATTACAAGGAATATAAAAAAGTATAATACTTTCGTTTTTAGTCCAGACACAAATATAAAATTCTATAAAAAAACGGAGCACCGTCATCAAAACGGCACGTGGAACGCCGAAAGTTCAGAGTGATTTCTTTTTTTTTTTTCTAAGAAACATTGCCAGGTTATGGTTTAAAATAAAAGAGCATATCTTTGTCTTTGATACTAATATCTATTGCATAGTGTCTTTGGTTTTGTTTAAAACGAAAAAATAGTTTTTTCATAGGTAGACATGTTTACATAATTCTGATCTAATTCGATCACTACTTGGCGGGCGTAAGGTTGGTATTGCGCGATCTAATGTGAGCTAGGCTTGGTTAACAGGCGGCAAATGAAATTTTATTCTGTTCGTTTTGACTATCGCCAACATAAATTAAATTATATAAATACTATTTGCAAACGAAATAAATAAAAACTTCTGACACAAAATAAGAATTTTGTCGAATTTTCAGTACCAAATAACTTAGCAAATAAAAAATAAAATAATAATATGCACTTTATTACTAATTCCAAATGTTAAACTAAAAAGAACAAATGCATCAGGACGGCACTATGAACTCTTCCTCGTTTCAAGTAGTATAAGAATGCTAACAATGATATCCTTTTTATATGTACATTTCATTAAATGTTTATGCCCTGCCGTGGAGCATATTATATTGGCAGATTATTATAATATAATATATCCCGCTTCTTCGGTTACGTAATCGGTAAGCTTGCGTGATAGATCGTGGAAATTGCCAAATATGAGGAATGCTGTAACCGTTATTGAATAAAAGGAAGAAACTTATATTTGCTCGTCAAATACAAACATTGCGTTGAAAGTTTGTATTTGACGTGCAGCAAGCAAAGCAATTATTATGTATGTATATATTATGTGTCCTTCATATTATCTTGTTCATAATTAAACCTTATGTTGCTTGAAAATACTTATAGCGCCATCTATATAAAATTATAGTAGTTAATTTATTATTACAGTAAAATAAAAATTATATGACATTGAGAAAATAACGGGTAGGAATAATAAAAAAAACTTAAAATCAGATAACGTAACTTTTCAATTTCACAACAATGTAAATTTTAATACCTTTGTAAATGCAAAAGGGAAATATAGCATGTTTACTGCCAAGCTTCTATGATCCTAGCCGAAACCAAAGATTCGTTAATAGCTCTTTGAAAATTTGATTTACCTTATAAGCACACCTACTTAAAATTTAAGTACCCGTTTGACCGAGCTTTGCTCGGTATTTTTCGCTCGGTTTTTTTAATACATGTGTTTTGGAAATTATATTTAGATACAACTTACATACTGATGAAATACGAATAATATTATAATAAATAAAAAAATACTAAAAAAAAGGACTCGAAAAAAATAGATTTTCTCAAAAAAAGAAAGGAACTTGAAAAAAAAATTAAAAAAAGTCGGTCCAACTTACATACTGATGAAATACGAATAATATTTTTTGATCTTAGCGACATAATAGAAAAAACTGAACTAGTTATTTGAATAAAAAATCATGAGTGCAATTAGTTTAATTTAAATTTTCGTGTTTTAAAAAAATACTAAAAAAAGGACTCGAAAAAATAGATTTTCTCAAAAAAAGAAAGGAACTTGAAAAAAAAATTAAAAAAAGTCGGTCGGTCTGGCCTCGAACCATGATAATACAACTTTGTGACCGACCAATGTACCAATTAAGCTACTTTTAATCATTAACAAACTGTCAAAATTTACCTTCTTATTCTAACGATATTGTAGCAGTTTTTCATTGTCTAAAACACGGACAAAAAGACATTTTCTAAAAATAAATCCTAGCTAGATCGATTTATTGCCCCCGAAACTAAGAATTGCTCGTTTAAAGGTATAGGATAAATGATTTGCACAACACCATCTATCGATGACATTGGTTAACCATTATACTTTTTTTAACTAAGATACTAGGATTTATATATTTTTTATAAATATGATACGTAACATGATACGTTAACAAACAAACAGACAGACAGACAACGCCACTGAATTTCTTTCTCGTACCTAACCTCATACCTGATAACCTGTCGACCTCAATTAAGTTGAATTTATTTGATTTAATACCTACATTGTGTACATTTTGCTGCGGCGCAAGTAAATATCGCTCCAGGAGTTAAAAGCTTCAAACTTTGGAATAAATAACGAATATTTTAAAAGAAATATTAAGAATTATTTTATATAAGGTCAACAACATTTTTTTTAATAAAATTATAGTGACAAATAAATTTACAGTTCACCTGATTGCAAGTAGCTACTGCAGTTCATGGACAACTACAACCAACTTCAGAACTTTGATGGAATTCCTCGCAACTTGAGATTATACTGACCCTTTGTACCCTTCAGACCAGAATACAGAAATTCAAGCACTGCTATTTGACGGCAGAAATGGGTAAAGGGTGATAGTTACCCAAATGGATTCCTAGACAGAGGAGTTTTTTACGTGGTAGAGCCGTGCTGCAGTTATATTAGTAATATAGTTATAGCCCAAATGGGTCGGCTCGACCGGGGAAGGACCGACGCTCTCACAGAACACCGGCGTCAAATAGTAGCTTAATGCTGCTGTGTTTTGTATGGTGAGAGTAAAGAACCGGAGACCCTTTTTAAAGAAAAAGAGGCGTTCCATCTAAGTCCTCACGGGTGACAACGCGTCTGCATTTTGATTCGTAATCGAGGATAGATGTAGATATCTATGGGCTACAGCAACCATTTACCATCAGGTGGTCTGTGTGCTCGTTTGTCACCCTATCCTATAAAAAAAGTCCTTACACCACCAGTACAAGAGAGATGCTTTTGACTTCACTCGACACAGCAATCAATATAATATTAGAACATGTTATCATTTGTTTTCAATTGATTACTATACAAATAGCAACCGTGAGCCATAATTTTTAAGATATACTTTTCATATTTCCATTAGGATATTTCCTTTTTAGTCACACAATGGATTAAATTTAAATACATTATCTTCCACAAAGCTTGCAATAAAATTAGTCTCGAAAATGTCGCAAATGTCTATCGACACGTGAACTTACTTTACTGTGTTATTTTTATTAACTTATCAGACCAACACACAAGATTCTATTAAACCAGTTGAATTCATTTTACAACATCATTTGGTTACGTCAACATAAATCATACGTCAACATAATCTGTCAGATTAAATTAATATGTAAAGATTATAAATACTTATATTGTTTACACTTTGGATTGAACTAGTTCCGCTTTTCCACATTATTAGCTTTAACAATCAGTTTCAGTATCGCGTATTTATATATATTATAAATTTAAGGAATTTATATTTTCATTAATACTACACCACTACAAAATTAATTTGACGGATTCAGCTACTTTTATTTTTAACTTATATTACCGACGTTTTCAGTAGTTTGCAGCACCCATGGGCACGCAGGTCTGTATAATATAACCTTAACATTAATTAAATTTTAAGTTATTTCTTTAATTTACTTTTTATTACGTAGCTTTCGCAAAAAAGCGTGTTTTGTTTCCCTTCGGAAGCGATCGCGGTATGATTGCGTTATGAATTAAATATGGCCATTCACGTAAAGTAAGTAAAGTCAGAAGAAAAGTTCAACGAAATTAATAAAGAAAAAATCACAAAATTTTACTTTTGTTTTCTTGGTGTTTCTTCTTTTTGTTCTATCCCGAAAGATACTTTTATACCTAGAATTTCGTCTCGACAACACTAATTTTACCTATCTCTGTCACTAAGTAGCAGTGCGTACACAGTTGTGTTCCGGACTTTTTTTTATAGAATAAGGGTGACAAACGACCAAAAAATCCACTTGATGGTAAGTGGTTATTGTGGCCCATAGATATCTACACCTATCCTCAGTTACGAATCAAACCGCAGATGCGTTGTCACCCGTGAGGACTAATATAGAATGCCACGTTTCCAGTAAAAAGGATCACCGTTTATCTAAAATCACCATACAAAACACAGCAGCGAAAGCTGCTATTTTACGCTGGTATTATGTGGGAGCGTGGTCCTTCCCATGTCGAGCTAACCAACTCGTGCTACAACTATACTCTACTAATATAATTGCAGCATTGGCTTTACCACGTAAAATCTGGGTCTGAAGGTAGAGCCAGTATAATTACAATGAAATGCCACGTTACCAGTGAAAAGGGTCTCCAGCTCTCTACACTCACCATACGAAACACGGTAACATTAAGCTGCTATTTCACGCTGGTATTCTATGAGAGAGTACCCCATTCGAGCCGACCTATTCGTAATAAGATCATAATATAGCTGCAGCGTGGCTCTACCACGTAGGAGCCTCAAAAATGGCAACGAATTTGTTGCTTTCTTTGTTTAAGGTTGGTTGTAGGGGTTCATGAGCTAAATTTGACACTTACTAATTGTAATTTCGTTTGTAACTTCAATTTTCTAAAAATAAATCCTTGTCGCTCAATATCTACACGGTTTACAATCAAAGTTGTGTTGCTTACGTTAATTATAAAAGATTCCTTTGGTGCCAGCATTGAATGCTATTATAAGTACCGAATTTTCACATCTTTGAGGCAAAAAAGCATTTTGAGAATACTTCAGAAATTATTTTCACATTTTTTTAGTATATCCTATGAATAAATAAAGAAGCTTATGCAATTTGAAAGGAGACCCATATTGTAAATTGTAAAAATATACGCCGACCACAATAGGCTTGTCACAAATAAAGTAGTAAAGTTATAAGACATATTATGTCCCATTTCAAGGCGTAGGCGTCCTCTCATTACAGAGAGGGTTTTTTTGAGAAATAAGTCCATCACGCTGCTCCAATGGAAATATTAATTTAATTTCTCAGACATTCAGGTGTTCTTACTTTTCGTTTCTTCACCGATGGCTAAGTGGGATATCAACACTTAAAATTGCATCTAACTATTTTATCCATTCATTCATCATTATCAGCGATCGATCCCGGGTTGCTAGCGTACTGTGAAATATATGGCATATCCGCTGAGCCACCATGGTGTCAAAGATAGTAGGTAGAAACTTAAAAAAAAACTGGACAAGTTCGTGTCGTATCAACACTTAAAATTGCACTTAGCTATTTTATCTATTCATTCATCATTATGAGGGATCAATCTCGGGTTGCTAGCGTACTGTGAAATTTATGACATATCCGCTGAACCACCATGGTGTCAAAGATAGTAGGTAGAAACTTAAAAAAAACTTGACAAGTTCGTGTCAGGCCACGCACTACGTAGAGGATAATTTAGATTACACATTTTCTTATCAGGCATAGCTCAAAACTTTAAAACAAGATTGTAAGACCAGAGGGTGTTGCCAGTGATGACTTATGGATTTGAGACGTAGTCATTTACTGCTGGCCGTATGAGGAAGCTCGAGGTCGGTCAGTAAGCCATAAAACTGGCTATGCTCGTGGTTTCTCCGTGTGATATACTTAAAAATGAGGATAACCGGACTTATTTTCCAAGCAGATTTATAGGAACCAGATCAGAGCATATTTATTAAATACTGCCCGTTGAATAAAAAATATAAAGATTAAAAAATGATACAATCTACATCAAATCATTCACATGCCAACTATGTACAAAAATGGTCATAGTACACTATCCATATCTACTAGTTCCCCGCAGTAGAACCCTAAGATGTACATATCCATAACGAACTTTCAAGTATACCATCATCATCATTATCTGCCCTGAGGGTCGGCCGCGTAAACCAAGAGTATCACGAATGAAACTGTATGAAGTAGTATTAATGTATGAATATTGTGAATGAGGTCTACAATTACTACTGAGTTTAAATCAAACATAAGTGAACGTGGTATATCAGGATCAATCTCTTAGCCTCTCTGCCTACCCCACAAAAGGAAAAGTAAAGCTATAGTAGAATCATGAAATTCAAAATAAAAATATCAATATGTTTATTTCATAGTCTACAATAACATGACAAAGTTATAATGCAGCTATTTTTCTATGGAATTATGAAGAAATTTTCATTAATACAAGTACATTTAATAAGTTTGTCGTGCATACTTATCACATTTCCAAAAATAGGGGTTTCGTTAGTAGTAAGGAAGGGGAGGCACAAGTCTCTAGAAATAATTAATCTAAATGTTTTGCAAACGGAACTGGAATCGAAAGATATCGTTTCGTACCCCAATATTTTTGAATAACCTATCCAACGTCACTCCAAATGCAAATAATCCTCTCTTTACCCGTATGGAAAGTACCCAAAATAAAAATATTTTTCAACATTATAGGCGTTATTAATATCTATAACTATGCCAAATTACAGATTTGTAGGACCTAGACTCTCAGAGTAAAACCGCGGACTGGACGGAAGGATAAAAAGACATGGCGCATCTACAAGGGTTCCTTGTTGTTTAACTATGGAACTCTAAAAAGAGATAAATAGAACTCGAAACCCCAAATGGCTTGAGAAGTATATTGATCAACGCAGATGGTGTGTTATATGATTCTGACAAAAGTCATTCCAATGTAAGTACATAATAATAAAAAAACATAAACACTCACGCCTGTCACCCAGAGGGGTAGGCAGAGACTACAGACTTCCATTTAGCACGATCCTGACATACCTTTCTCGCCTCTTCCACATCCATATACCTACGCATACACGCTCGTCGGTTAAGGGTACGCTTAATGTGGCCCATTTTTAGTATATCGCCAATTTGGTCGACAAACTTCCGCCTAGGACGTCCCTTTCCGACTCTTCCATTCACTTCTGCAACATATATTTGCTTTGTCAGGCTTTCCGCATTCATTCTTTCTACATGACCAAACCACCGAAGCATTCCTTTCTTAATCCTGGTCACCGCATCATCTTGCAAACCACACTCTTCTTTTATCACATAGTTTCTCACCCTGTCACTCAGATCCAGCCCTAAAATACTCCTTAGCGACCGCAATTCTACTTCATTTATTCTACTCTCGTGCTTCTTCTGCCACACCCAACTTTCACTACCATACGTTAAAGTAGGGACTAATACAGCACTGTGAATTGCCATACGTGCCTTTTTTGACACATTCTGACTTTTCACAATAGACTGTAGAGCCCCATTTACTTTATTTCCTGCATTCACTCGTCGTTCAAAGTCCTTATCATATCTCCCATCCCTGCTGAATACACATCCCAAATATACGAACTCATCCACTTGCTCAATTAACTCTCCTTCTATTCTTATTTCATTCCAATGTAAGTAGTATGTATATAATTACTCTAAGCTCCATCCGGTAAATTTATTTATCCGGTAATATTTATCCGGTGATTCTTTTTTGTGTAAATAACCAGTGTTGCCACCCAAATGCAATGTTGTTACTTGTTTTCAAGGTTAATCTATACTCTTGTTATCACGTAATGTACGTGTACTACGTAATACTACATGAGAGATGTGGCAGACACGTATCACTGTATGGTCGAATTGTAATTGCGGTACACTGTATGAGTAGCGGATTAAGCTGTATTATTGCTGTAAATAATTAATTGCGTAAGCAAGAGACCAAGTAGAATGTCCGCTCTCACGCTACATTATTTTAATACCCTTGGCGTTCGTTTAACAGGTGGGATATATTTAGCTTATGAACGATGCCATTGGCACCCTTACATTTGTCTGAAGGAAATCCACACGGTCGTCGATTGAAAGGAAAACCGAAACTTAAGCAATTGTATGACGCGAAAAAAAGGTCTAAAACCGTTAGAATTAAAGATTGTACACGAAAATATGGGAATCAGGAAAAGGTACTGTTTATCCAAATGCCAATCCGCTGCTGTAAGGCCTTAGATATACATAAAAGATGAATTAATTTTCCTTCTTGATCGGCTTCTATAAATAGTCAGTAATTTCAAGCTACAGTAATTTAAAGGATGTAATTTCTGCATCCTTTAAATTACTATAGCTTGAAATTCAGCAAATCTTTCCGTTACTCACTCTCACCCTCCGACAACCTATTAAAAGCTTACGCTAATAGTATTTGCGTTAGTGCCACCTTCTCTAACTGTGTAATGGCAGTGTAAGAATATCCATTTACTCACTAAGTACAGCATATCTAAATTTCACTTCTGAGCAGTAGTTTACACCCAAGAGATTATATGGAGTACAGTACGTGAGGGTAATATGGTCATCCA